GCGCTGCCGTGTGTGTGTGTGTGTGTGTGTGTGTGTGTGTCCCCCACAGGTAAGTGTGTTCGTATAGCTGTGTGTGCACATAGGTATCTGTGTGTCTTGCATCTGTGTTTATGGCCTGGAATTTCACATGTGTCTGTAGACATGTCTGTGTGCGCACAGGTGTCTGGATGCTCCTGGATTCGGAAGCCACTGCCTCAGGGCCAAAGCCGAGAAACTGAGTCACAGAGCCGTCATTCAGGCTTGCCAGAGATCCCTTGGGGAGCCATTGATGCTCACAGAGTGGAACCCGGATCTGTGCAGCTGCATCTGGTGGCACTTAGGCTCTATTGGGCTGGGACATGTGTGCACGTGCATGTGCTGACCTGTGGATACTAAGTCCTCCCAAATACTCGGATGTCCCAGATTGGAACTCCTAATGTGTACATTTCCAGCTGCTGACCTCCTGAACCTCACTCTGTGGGGCTGAACCAAGAAACTGCATTTTAATCAAGGGTTCAGTGACTCTGAAGCTTCCTCTGATGAAGAAATACTGTGCTCCCTCACTCCACCCCCATTCTACAGGTGGGGGAACTGAGGCCCACAAAGGCACAGTAGTTCATGTGGGGCCAGTGACAGAACTGGTCCTGCACTGCATGTCTGTTGAAGGTGAACAGGCAAAGGATAGAGAAATGTGGGCAGGTCACTGAGCGCCATTGGAGTCCATGAATTGAACATGGCACTGCTCTGCTAGTGACATACAACCTTCGGTGCCTGACTGTGCAGATGAAGGCAAGAGCCATCAGGGCCAAGGAGGTGAGCAAGGCCAGTGCTGCCACAGACAAGAGCAGGAAATGGGCCCTGTAGGAACTTGCAGGGGTGAGGGGTAGAATCCCTGGGTGTGTTGCATGAGGACAGTGCACAGGTGGTGGGTTGTGCCTGGGCTCCTTCAGGATTGAAGGAATTGTTGGAGCCCTAGAGGAAGTGAGCAGGGAATTGATCCTAGAGAGGAGTCTGGCCACTAGTTATGACAAAGGGTGATGCCACCAACATGGGCAGGTTTGCAGTTTAAAAACACCCTGGCTGCTCTGTGAAGAATTGATTCTAAGGAGCCAAAGTTGTCTGGGGTGGCCCAGGCGCGGCCGTTAAAGAGAAAGGGGTCTGGGTCTGGGTGCCAAGGCGCCACCCAGGCCCCTAATGGCTTCTAGGCACCCACGCGCCTGAGAGCGTGTTGTCCTCGAAAAGTGACATGCAATCAGGAGCGATGGTGTGTCCAGAGTGAGAGTGCACACAGTTGCATGGCGCTGGAAGCCAGCCTGGCACTGGTGGCTGGGTGAGAGGAAAGGCAGTGGGAGTGTGGGCCACGTTGGATGGGCATCAGGGTGAGGGCAGCGCTGGGAGGGATGCAGCAGGAGATGTGTGGGCAGGTAGGCTCCCTTTTCACTTAGATCACCTGCTGACAGTGAGGGGAGGGTGTTGGATTAGACTGGGGACTGGAGGTTTGCTGGGCAGTGGGAACCAGCCAGGGACAAGGCAGCCCTCTGCTGGGGAGAGTCCTGCCCACAGTACACAGGTCACTCAGAAAGGGCTGCAGGAAGCAGAAGGACTCAAGTTCAAGACCCACCTGGACAACTTAGCAACTTAGACCCTGTCTCAAAAACTAAAATAAATTTTTAAAAAAGGGCTGAGGATTCATCTCAGTGGGAAGGCCTTGGGTTTAACCCCGAATACCAGAGTGGCGGATAAAAATGTAGATCTTCAGAGCAGGTGTGAAGATCTATGGACCAGGGCTGAGCCTGGTGGTGAAGGAAGGGTTCTGGGTGGTGGGGTTGTCTCAGAGAAGATTTGAGGCGCTAGCGGGTTGGGAGGGAGCCGTGTGGAGGTGAGGGTAACGCCAGCGGCCCTGAAACCTACCTCTCTCTCCTTCCGCCTCTGCTGTACACTCTGACACCTGTGAGTGCCTGATCTTAGGGACTGACGGTGACCACAGCCTAAGAATGGTTGTTTTCTCCCGCAGGTCCAACAGGCGAGGCGTACCCCACCCGGTGGCCAGGAGAGCCGTGGGGTGCAGTTGCCAACATGCCAAGGAGTATCGCGCCCGCACTGCGTTTTCACCGCTGCCCCTGAACCTGGCTGCGAGTTCGAGCCTAGTGCCCGCCTGCCCACACCATGAGCCACGGCCCGAGCCCCCGGCTGGCCGAGTCCCCGCAGCTGTCCAAGGGCAGCCTCCTGACCATACTGGGCACTCCTTCGCCCGACCGCA